GAAGGATGATAATAACGAGGAAACACATGGGTTATTTTAATGAAACAAGGAATTTATTCATGAATTTACACACATAAACTAGTGTCAATAGCTCATTTCAAGGAAAATAAATCATAATTCTTAAAATCTGTAGTTTTAAGGTATTGTCATGAGGAGGAAATGTTCATACAGCAGATTAAATGATCTAACATTAAATAATATTAAAAAATCTTTAAGACAAAGGTAAAAGAGTTTGTTGCTCAACAAAGGGATATATGCCTTGCATATGTTTGAAAGTAGGCAAAGAGAGATAGTTTGAAATAGTTTTCTTGGATAGTTGAGAGAAAATTCTTTGAAGTGCCACATGCTGATTAGAAGCTGATAATATAATTGGGAAGTAATTTTACACAAGCCGGTACTTCAACGCTGGTCATGAGAAACAAAACTTTTCACATGACTTCACACACTCTTATTAATTTAATTTTTCTCATTTTATACCAAAAGGAATTTCACATAGGCTCACTACTTTCTTCTTGGCTGACCAGCTAATTACTGTAAAGGCAAGTTTTTCATTAGTCCCAAATCAATTTCACATAAGCTCATGAATTTTTCTTTTTCTTCCTCAGTTTTCTGAATTTAAAGGAAGTAGGCAAAGGGAGTTATTATTTCAGACTCACTACACAGGTAGCACTTCTTTTTAATGTTAGTTCTTTGTTGTTTCACCTTAGTGAATATATTCCATTGTATTCCATTGAGCTAGCCAGAAAGTGAGGTAATTTTACTTTCTCTTTTTTTTCTTTGAACATGGTCTTTTGACAGTTTAGTTGTGTTGTTACATTGATGCATAGATAAAGAATAACAGCAGTATGGACTTACGTATGAAAGGATATTTATTTGCAGTTTATCTCAAGAGGTTCACATGTCCTGTCTCTACTTCCTCTGTCCACATGACCCCGGTGCTGGTGTTTGCTGGTCATGTCCAATGGTGAAAATTCCATAGTATTTTAACCAAAGTGTATGGAATAGGTTATTTGAGTGTGGATGATATACAAGCAGCGATTTCTTAAACCAGGTGAGTTAGGTTGATAGGAAAGCTGGAAGCAATGAGTAGCCGAAAGTTCAGGGCTGTTGTGAGTAGGTCCTTTAATGCAGATCAACCAGGTGAGTTAGGGTCAGAAGTAATGTAGGGCAGGAATGCTGGAAATTAGAGTCTGTGGTAGCTGGAAGTAGTAAAGGCTAAGAGTGTCAGAAGTAAGAAAGGATAGGAAAGCCCAACTAGTGTCCAGTTGGCAGACAAAAATAAATGGGAATGGAACTCGATATGTAGCCCATATAAGCACCCTGGCCACAATGGTCTGCATTTCTCCTCCTCTGTGTCTTCTGCGTTGTGCTCAGCAAGAAGTCACCAGGTTATATAAAAAAAAAGAGTGTAAACATTAACTGGTCCTGCAAAGTACTAAAAATCTCAAGAAATATAAACTGAAATATGCTACAAAATATAAAAAGTATTAAATGTCCATGAAGTGTATTCTGACTAGGTTTGTAACACTGAAAGAACTAAAAAATCATTAGGCGTATTATAAATCTAAATTAACTTAAATTGAAGGGTGTATGGCAACATAATTAAGAAAACATCAAGGTCATAGCATCTACCCTTGGTCACGTAGACATAGTGAAGAGATATGATCCCCTGTACTACCTTTGTTTCATGCCCTATCATGACTCTACCTCCAACATTTAACATATATTTTCTTTTTTTTAAGGTAGAAGAACTTACAAAAATTTAATATTTAAAACTATATATTTAATGAATGCTCCATAACATAAGAATACCCATTTGGTGGTGTATAGTTGCGTCTTATGGGCAGAGTTATCCTTTCAATCTTAGTAGATAGTTGTTCTGGGTTTAATTTCTCAGTGTCCATACATAGTAGCTGGGCCAAAACACTAAATTCAATGGAGATGGGAGATGTGTCGGTTATCCCACTTGTCAGTCAGTTATGTGCCATGCATGATACATGCTTAGGCGATCATGTATCTTTCAATACATGACTGATGAAGCAGATTTTTTTCCCTGCAGTAGGTTGCCATTTCTTTCTGCGGTAGACCAGTTACTATCCAAGGCTATAGAACCCGAAGTGTCCTGCTATTTACCATAGCTGTTAGAAGAGGATTCATATCTTTCCCAAGGGTATTAGCACAAAAGTGAATATAATGGATTAGACTGGAATTCAAACTTTTCTAAAAAAAAAAACGTCTTTTGGGGGCGCTCCTTAAGTCAATAAAGTTGCTTTCATTTTTCTCTCTAGTCTCTTTTCCAGTTTCTAGCTATAAGATGTAGTCAGATGTGTGGAAAAAAAAGTGTCCCCTACTAGGACACGTTCATTTTCATGGTTTCACTTTTCTCTTTTGACTTTTGTACTCTTTCATACACGTGCCTATAACAAATTATACATGCAAAAGCACATATTCTCTAGTTAAAATGTTTTCTTTAATAATTGTAATTCTTTGGGTAAATTTACAGATTAAGCCCCACAAACCAACTGTAATTAAAATTTCTAGAAAAATTCCACTTTGGTGTAAATTTGCATGCTTATTTAAAAAATATTGTATTTTTTTTGTTTTCCGTATTGGTTGTTTCTCTTTTAACTGATTAATTTGCAGTGTCCAATTTTTAAAAAATGTATTATTCCTGGTGTAAAAAAGCCTGATTATTATAAAAATAGCGATAAAAATTGAGGAAACTTCTATCATTAGTTGGGTCCCAGGTACAGCCTGGTCTCTATTACTGCATGAAAGTTTTACCCATCTTTACTGGAATTCACAGATAATGCCCCAGTGACAAACTAAAAAAAAAAAAAATTATTATTCCTGTTGTAAAAAATCCTGATTATTACAAAATTAGCAATAAAAATTGAGGAAAGGCTACCTTTTAGGAGATATTGCCAATCTTAGTTGGGTCCTGGATACAGCCTGGCTGCCTGCTCAATTTCTGTTCCTGAAGTCAGTCCCTCACAGTATCAAGCATCTTGACAGATTCCTGACTGAGGTGGCCAGACTGTATTCATCAAAGAAATTTTATTCAAGCATTAGTTAGAACCAAATTGTTCTCGGCAAATCCAAAATATTAACCTTTTTTAAGCAGTGCTTTCTTTTTGCCTGTTATGAGATTAACATGATAAATGCGAATAATAATAATTAATAACAAAATATTTCTTTTTAAAACTAGGGATTATAAACTGGGTTTTATACTGGAACCGAACCTAAATAATACGACATTTTAAATTCCAGCAAAAACAAACATATTATTTTCAATTTTCGTAACTCATTCACAATGTAAGTCCTTTTTACATTAAAAACATTGATAAAAAATATAAAAAAAAACTTTTATTTTAGTTTTAGTTTTTTGAAAAAAAATCAAACTTAAAATAAAAAGCAGCCATATGTAAATATTGACTGTTGAAATATTTTTTTTATTGTCTAGAAATCAAAAATGTCCTTCTTTGTTTGAATAATGAACTTCTCTAGTGGATTAGCCAATCTGTATCGGTGACAAAATACAAATTAAACTGACCCTCTACTATTTTTACTAAATCAAATGCAACAAAGACAACAACAACAAGAGAAATAATCAAAAAGCAGATATTTGTTTTAACGGAAAGTATTTTTATATAACAAATACACACGATATAATAAAGTTGTTTAAAACACTTTAGAGTTCTTGGTTGTGTTGATCAAGGTTAATATAAAAGGTGTTATGCTATAGATCTGGTAAGGAATTAAACAGCTTAAGTTAATGGTGAAATTGAATGAAATAGATTGCTTGATTTACTGTAGAGTTGTCTCGCTTCGACTGATATAGTTATGATTTCCTTTATGTTGTTAATATATTGAGTGACTTGGTTTCTGAATCTTGTCTTAGTTGAATTCGTCACTAGATGAGTTGAAGTTGAAAGGAAATTGAATTCCACAAGCCGGGTTGATGTTAATAAAAATTAACTTTTAGTGAGGAAGTTGGGTTTCATGGATTCGTGTGACGAGTTGATTATTTTAAGGACTCATTGTCGTACCGAAGTTTCATATTTATGAATTTTATTGATCATGTGAGAGGCTCGAAAGAATGTTTACCAATTTTTGCCAAGTTGAATTCTGAACATGTCAACTTGAGGTCAACGTAGGCAGAAACATGGCATTATTATTTATGGACCAATCAGAAAGCATTGTTTCGTACTGAAATCACAAACTGAGAATACTTGGCTGTGATCCTCTTTTAGCAGGTTTAAAACAGAAAACGTAGAAATCTAATTCTACACTTCTCAAATATTGCATCATTTCAATCAATACAAGAAAGACTCGAGAGCAAACAAAGAGAAAGCTTTCACGACTCTGCATTGAAACTAGTTTTTTTCTTCTTTGCAACTTAGTCCTTTAAACTCACACCAATAAAAAAGTAGCCTTGCTGGGATATAAGAAACTTGGCTAAAAAAAGTTTGCGGTACGGGTTGTATTCAAAGAGTGAATAAAAAAAAAGTAAAAAACGGTTTCTGGTTATTTAGCATTATTTGAGAAAACGAAGGTACTTCTTCAGACTTTCACTTTATGGTTTATAATCAAAAAGTCATTTTTTATTATCACTATTAAGAAATTAGTTTGATTCTCACAAAAGTAAAACTCAGCTACGTATAGTAAATAACAAGACCAATCACTTCATTTATTTAGCGAATATTCATAACAAGAAATCAAAAGTGGAAAGTGAAAATCAATTAAAAATTAAAATAAAAGTCCATAGTTGTTAAATGTGAGAACTAGTTTTAGAATCTCTAGATACATAAAAAAAAAAAATAAAAAAAAAATAAAAAAACCGCAGAGAAAGAAAAAAAAAGAAATAAAAAGGTAGTAAATGAAATAAATTTTTTTAGAGCATAAAATTATTGTGACCTAAAAAAAGCGTAGTGCACGTTAGGGCGGCAACCTAGGTACACAAAAAACTAAACATGGCAGAACCCCCACTTGCTTCCCTAATGTCTCGTTTCCAAGGTTGCCTTATTGGGGCCCTCATTGGAGATTGTTTTGGCAAACTGTTCGAAAATTATGGGAAATTTACGCCTGACTCAGAAAAGTATGTGAAAGTTACTCTTGAATCAGTGAAGTTGTTTGTCGATAATGTAGAAGCTGGTAAGTTTTTGCGACCTTGATTTTCAAATTAATCTTCTTATTCTTATTGTTTGTGCTTTAACCATTTTTGTGGAACATTTTGATATTATTTTGAAGAAAAATAATAAAATAATAATAATAATAATAATAAATTAAAAAACACTTCAGCAATTTACAGATTATCTAAAAATAGGCCTTTAGTACGCAATTTTATAGGAGATAGAGGAAGGATAAAAATAAAATCATTTCTATATTAAATTACAATTTAGATAGAATATTCTCACGAAATAGTAATTAGGCAATAAAATTCTTCGTTTAAGGCTTAAAATTTAAGTAACATAGTCTATTGTTGAAATAGAACGGACAGGGTATGTCCGTTTTAAATACAACCGTCTGGGTATGTCACAACTTTTGGTGTGTTTCTGTCTCGATGTCGAAAAACAAACACACACACCTCTGGTCTTCCATGTTCATTAAAATTTTATTTTAACTTTTCCGCACAGGGGTGGAATTACAGAGTTTTTATTTCGTCCTTTGACCACACAGGCTATCGTGCATTGTTTTCATTCTGTTTTACTTTTAAGTAAAAGGTAAATTTACTTTTAGAAAATCGAATATTAATCATTAAATTTACTAATAGACTTCAAAACAGATCTCTAGGGAAAATAGTGCATTTTACAGAGAATTTTAAATTTGGTAATGTTTTTCGTATACAATGGCAGTTCAGCAAGTGACAAAAAAACGTATCACTAAATTAATTTCCCTTTAATTCAGATTAGCTTTAGTTTGACCATTTTTCCTTCAGATACAACCAACATTTATATTCAAAGAAGGCATTTAAATTTTTTTTAGAAAGTTCATGTTGGTAGTTCACACCTTCCTGTTCAGCCATTATAGCCCACAGGGATCACTTTTTTCAGTTGTGCCAACTAGATAGTTCTGATCACAACAGACACTTCTGTTAAATAAGAGTATGGTATTTCTAGACAAATCTTTGATCTGATTCAATCTTTCTTATAAAATCATGAAATGAATACTGCTGCCACATCTGGCCTAGTCCTTCTATTTTGTATTTATAGATTCTTGATAAATCTGCAATGTTATTGGCATTGACCTGGCATTTTGGCTTCAATCCGTTTCCTATCACCATAATGTAGCTTCCCTATGCCTAAATGCTATAAATATTTTCATGATATTGGATGATCCTTCCTCTTTGCTATCATGACCATATGAATTTAAGTGCAATATTAAATTGGCAGCTATTCTCATAATGTCACTGTTGAAATTGCTGAATGTAACCATAAATTCTATGCTAACAGTTTCTTCTTTTTCACTTCTCACTTATGGAACACTCTTTCAGATTCCTCCTTTCCAGTCAATTTTGATTTTCAAATTCTTAATTCCTGTTCTTTTATTCTTTAATAATGTTTTTCTTACTTTTAAAATTCTTTCACACTCAGTAATCGCTTGCATCTTAGTGGCTTTATTGCTTTGCTTGGAGTGAAATGATAAAAAATATGAGCCTCCATCCCAAAATAGCAAGAATAAAAAGTTAATTGGTCAAAGAAAGATGGTGGTAGTGATAATAAAAAAAAATAATTACACATTTTACAATTTTTTAAAAATATTATTACATCACTGTTGAATTTTTTGTTGTTATCTAAAGGAAAGGGGCATATGGATAAACAAAAATAAAGTACAAAAGAAGAAAAGATCACCAATGGCGGGCATAAAATTCTCTAGTTAAGTTACACAATTTCCAAACAAAAGGAAAGTAAAACCATAACTTGCCTTCAGTTAGGTGGTGTTGCCTTCTCTACAATATCATTTTACTTACTGGTAACCACTACAGCAGCTCCAAATTAGTTCTTACCATACAAAATCATGAAACATTCACCTATCTTTCAAAAAATTCCAATGAAGACAATCCTTTTCTTTCAATTATGATCTTTCAGTTGATGCTTTACGTGATAATCAAACTAGAATCACAAATATGGCTTTCAATAAAGCCATGGTATCACTGATATGATCTTTTCATTTCATCTGAGAAACTATATTAGAAAAATCATGAATTGTATATTATTTTCTTACATTTAATTAAGGCTTTCAACTTATTCAGACACTTTTGATGTTTCTAATAAAGCAAAACAAGTTTATATCATGGCCCCAATTATTTTTGTTCTTTCCTGTCACTATGCTTATGATGATCTTGATTCAGGTATTCAGTTATAATTTAATTTCAGTAGTGGCTTTTACAGTTATTAATGCTTTAAAGTAAAAACATGTTCGCTTTTTATTTGATGAAAATGCTACACTTGTTACAAAATCTATTGAAGAAACATTGGAATTTGTTAATTATTTCTATAATGCAATTAAAACCTTTAGTCTTGACATCAGCATTAAAAAGACTGAAGTCATCCATGAGTCATTGCTCATCCCAAGCAAATCAGCAACAACAACCAATTTAACAGTTCTCTACTACTCTCATCACCATTGATTTGAGATATTTAAAGACCTTCACATATCTGGGGAGTAAATGATGATGAAATAGTAAATGGTGTGGCCAAAGCCACAAATCCCTTGAGCAAACTTCATCTTTGAGATGAATAGGTAATCTCATTAGAAACAAAAGCATAAGAAACAAAATTTAATGTTTACCACTTTATTATATGGATTGGATTCATGAGTCCTTATCAATCACCAGCTTCATATCTTTGGACCATCTGTGGGTATATCTTACATGACAGAATTTCAAATATTTATTTCTAAATGTAAAATTGGTAGCATTGAATCCTTTCTTTTGCAGTACCAGTTAAGATGGACTCGTCATGTAAGTAGAATGAGTGACAATAGAATTCTAAAAGTCCTTTTGTATAGCCAGCTCCATGATAGAAAAAAGAAACATAGGATGACCATGGTTGAAGTACAAAGACAAGTTCTGAGCTCAACTGAAAACAAAGTTTCCTTCATAAACACTTGAAAAAAACCACATTGAATCACAATGAATATATACTAACTTGGTATAAAGCCATATAAAGGGCTTTGAAATATATGGTCTGGATCATTTTAAAGTATTGAGAGTCAAAAAAAAATACTCTATATAACATACTAACCACTTTGTATAACTTGATAGCTATACAAAGAGATGTGACATTTTAAGGGTTGAAGGATAGATTGATAAACATGCCAAGAGACGAGACCAGATTTTAGTAAATTCAGAGGGCTTTTTTTTTCTTCTTCCTTGGGTAAAGGCAAGACAGAAACATTTGATTTTTTTTTTTTTGCAAAAACCACATGGCCAAAGTTGACAAGAGACTATGAAATGGACCTGGTAAATACTGGGTTGTCAACACATCAACTGAAGAATAACAATCTGAGGGCCTCCTATGACCAAATCAGGAATAGGGGCTGGCTGGTAGTAAAATGGCTTTATTATTATTTTGGGGACTCTAGTAAAAAAAGCCATCTGGATAATTTAAACCCACAAGAGATGGAGAGAGGCAGTGTAAAAGCCAAAATAGAGATACTATTGTCTTTAAAATCCAGATTATGGAATTATCTGCTGTCCAAGACCCAGTAAGAGATAAAACAAAGGTAGAGTTAAAGAATTGTTTTTTTACCACTTGTCAAAAAAGGAAGGGAAGGTGTGAATCACTGAAGAGATGAGATTTCTTTGGATAAGAACTGAAGAGGCTGTCAGGGGAACAGCTGATGAATACCCAACTGAGAACTAAAAAATTAAGCTCTTCGACCCTTCATATGTTGAAATTTATAGATGAGTCAATTTATCTACATACATACACACACACACATATATTAATGACTTTGTTTATCTGACATTATTTCTTATTACTATAAATGTTATTTTTAATAGGCAGACATATTTGAGTTGACATCTGTTTTTTTTTTATTTTCTTAAACAATAAAATTAATATCAATCAACTGAGGTTGAGAAATCCTACTAATGCAAAAAAAAGTGTTTCTGACAGGAATCAAAATTATATCCCCCTTTCCACCAAGGAAACAACTCTTCTAGCCAAAGCATGCACTTACTAATTTGGCCATGGTAGACTGTCAGGATAAAGCTAAGTCCAATTACATACTTAAAGAATGCATATTTCTCCTGACTTATTTGACAATATATCTGCCAGCTTGATTTTCAAACTCACAACATGAACACAGCAGTTTTTAAATAGATTTTTTTTTTTTTTATCCAACATTATTTCCTATTGCTATGTTGTTTTTAGTGGCAATATATAAGAAATATATGACAAAATTTTTAAATAGTTAAGTCTTTAATTGAGAAATTGTATTATACTGATATTATGAATGAGGCATATTGTGGTAAATAGAATATTGTTGCTTCATTGAGTTAATGAATGCATCAAAGTTGGTGTCATGTAACATGCACATTGGCATTTTCTCTTTTTTTTTAACCTAAAAGTAAATATTTGTTTTCATTACTGAAAAAAGGGTCATTTTCTTTACAGATTGCATACTCACCCCCCAAAAAAATGTTGGCACAATCAAGTAAAACATGGTACAGCAAAAGTAACACAATAAGATGAATTCTGAGTAACACTTGAAATGATAATGACTCACCTGAAAAGTACAGAAGCTTCAGTAATATCACTAAAAAAAATTGTAACTCAATTTTTAATCTTGCACTAAGATTTGGATTTGGATGAATTGAAGAAATGCTTTAATTTTGCCATTTTCATAAAAAATACATGAGGAATCAAAGCACTATTTTCTACTTATTCATCTCATTGGTGTCTTTTTATGACTTTTCCTCCAGCAAATTAAGAAATAATAAAAAGCAAAAGGAATATTTCATGTATGAGAATTCATTTTTTCATAACATCTTGATATTTATATAAATTAGTGTTCCTATTTATAAGATATAGATGAAATTTTTTTTTAAAGTCAGAAAAACTTAATATATTCTTTTATTCGTATATAAGACATGCAAATATCAAAGGTCTTAAGAATTTAATTCCAAAAGTGACATCACTTTAAAA